TTATAACCAAGAAAGTATCAACATTATTCATTAAAAAAAAGGCATTACATTTTAAACGACATACAAGTTAACAAACATAAAATAAGTTGTATAACGACTTTACTCTTGAAATAGATCGTTTGCAAAGGAAACATCTTTAATTGTCTTTATTTGAAATAAGATTTAAAATTTAAGGTCAAATGTCTAACAATTGAAAATTTATGTATTAAATTGACAGAAGTTTCAAATTAGATAAACTGTTAGTGTAATTTGCAAGCAAATTGGAAATTGTTTGATACCTGATTCAAAACACTTCTTCTGGATGAGGTGACTTGAAAAAAGAAAAAATGGTATATTTTTTCATGTTTGATTTATAAGTTGAGTGAGAATTTATGGAAAATGACGAGAAAGAAAATCTTCTTACAAAATTCATTTCATTTCTAACCAAAAGTGATAAAGAAACAAGGCGATTATAATACTAGGATTGTCCTTTAAATACAAATGAAAAGAATGAAATCTAACTCATATCCTTCTCTCGCATACTTTAAGTTTTTTATTCATTCAAATATGATGATGAAAAATACAATAATTTATTTTATTTTATTAATTAGATGAGATATCACAATCATTTATTTATTTTTATTACCTTACAATTCAAACGAAACATAAAATTAAATGTATTAAATAAAAATTAATTAAATACAAGATTAAATCTATTTTTACTATTTTTTATCAATTAACACATAAATTTAAATATTGATTAGAGATTAGGGATCACCATTTTTTCTCAGTCGACTCCGTCCCCGCAGCTCCTGGCATGCACGAATTTCATTTGGCCCAATGAAAAAGTGAGACAACAACAGATTTTGCTTATCTCGTTTCTAACCCGTTATATTCGTTAAATATACTTACATATAAATAATATCTATCATTTAATTTTTTCAATGTAATAAGATTAAATCACTAAAATAATATACTTGTCATTCATTTTCACTAATGTATTTTTCATTCAAATATTTTAACTTTTATTAATTATAAATTATTATTCATAATATATTAAATTATCTTGATTATTATTAGTATTTTTATTTTTAAAATTACAAAATTAATTTACCCCCACTTCTAACTTCAACTTGATTTGTTCCACGCTAATACTATAACAACTTTCATTTTGTCTTAGTCATATTCACGAAAATTTATATGATTTTGGTTTGTTAAGCTTACATCTTGTGAACTTTATATTTTTATCTAAGTATGGGAACATGTCTTGTTTTATATTGTTGTGTTTTGTGTAAGTATAAGATCCATGCTTTGTTTCTTGCTTTGTGTGTTGAACCTAGGCCATCTATTTTTGCTACCTCATACCTAGGTCCCACAGTTGAGCGTCAACACCTAGGATCATCCTGGAACCATCTTGATTGACCTCTACTTTCACCCTTGTGCCTTGGCCGAGGTGTGCATCATTTAGACCGAGACGTGCATCATCTAGGCCAAGATGAGCATCACCTAGACATCCAAGATCTTTAATCTTTGAACTTTGCAGCCTTGTTGTACACCTTAGCTAAAACCTAGCAATCATGTTCCTTGACTTGTATAACCCAGGCCGAGATGTGTCACACCTAGACCAAGTGTTACTCCTTCTAGCTGAGATCAGGAAGACCTCACTTATCCTTCACTTGTCCAAAGCATATGTTTTGATCCAAGATCCTTACCTTGTCAGTGTAGGAGATCAACCCAAATTGAGTTGGCAACCACATGGAAGGGTGGCCAACCCACATGGTAAAAGGAAGGCAAAAGAGGTTGGCATGAGTTGGCAAGTCATGAGGCTTGAGTTGGCAGCCATGAGGCTTGCCATGCGCCAGCAACAAAGGAGAAAGCATGAGTTGGCCATGTGAAGTCTTCACATGGTGGGACAAGCTTTCAACTGGACAGCAGCTCAAAGGAGAATATTGAGCTGGCAGCCAACACACCCATGAGGCCTCCCTCACCTTCTGTTTTGGTGTATAAAATGGAATGGTGATGGTGAGTTGAATACACGGCAAACATAGCAAGCAAGAGAGAACACCACTGCTGAGAGAGAGGCACAAAACAGAGAGAGCTAGTGAGAGCTATATTCTGTTGTGTGTATCAGAGAGTGTGAGAGAGAGTGTTATATAGAGAGACAGTGAGTTGAGAGTGTGTAATCTCCTCCATTTGTTGATATATAACAAATGCGTCCGTGGAACGTAGGCCGGTTTGCCGAACCACGTTAAAAGTCTTGTGTTTTTGCTTGTGAGTGTCCCCTGGTGTGCCCACGATCCGCAACAATTGGTATCAGAGCCCGGGTGGAGAAAAATCGAGTTTTTTCCGAAAGTGTCCAGATTTCGAAGTGGTCGAAATCCACTTTTGAGCATACCAGGAGGAAGGCCAGGAGGAGAGGAGTCCAAAACTTCAAACCACAGGCCAATCGGAGGTCTAACGCGCCGCCACGCGCCACCTGAATATCGCGAGTGAAGGCCACTCGCACCCACGCGCCCCACGCGCCGACGAAGGAAGAAGACGAGTGGGGGCGCGCGTGAAGCTGACGTCAGGCTGACGTCATCCTGAGCCGAGCCGAGCCGTCGAGCCGTTGACCGCGCCGCTGACCAGGCCGAGCCGTGCCGGAGCCGCGCCGCCAGCCAAGCCGCGCCGCTGAGCCGCCGTTGACCGCGCCCCTGCGCCGTTGACCGAGCCGCTGACTGCGCCGTTGACCAGCCGATCTGGAGGAATTATCTGGTGCTTCTCAGGCGCACCAGATTCAACAGATCTAAACCGTTGAAACTGTTTTGGCTAGATCTAGGCCATTCGGAGTCCGTTTTTGGCGATCCAATAGTGAGTTCCAACTATTTGGAGTATTCCGGAGACATCCGTACGATTAGTTTTTGAATCAGAGGCATTCAAACTCTTTTGGCTAGATCTAGGCCATTCGGAGTCCGTTTTTTGGTGATCCAATAGTGCGTTCCAACTATTTGGAATATTCCGGACCCATCCGTACGGTCAGATTCTTAAATCGGAATTTCTTTAAAAAGGAAAGAAATTTACAATGGCAGGAAAAGGCGCAAGTTTCATGATTGAGCCTTTTAATGGCAGTAATGACTTTACCCTGTGGCAGCAAAGGGTGAAAAACATTTTAACACGAGAAGATCTGGTGAAAGCTCTTCTCAAAAAGTCCAACAAACCGGAAGACATGAAGGATGACAAGTGGGAGGAGTTGAGGGAATTGGCAAACAGTACAATTCAGTTGTATCTTGGGAACAACACACTCCGGGAAGTCATCAGTGAAGAAGATCCGGCGGAGCTATGGGCAAAGTTAGAGATGAGGTACAAGTCAAAGTCTTTGACAAACCGGTTATCTCTGAAGAGGCAGCTATATACACTTAGAATGCCAGAAGGTGCGAACCTCACAGAACATCTGGACGAGTTCAATAGGATCACAATGGAATTGGACACCATTGGAGACAAGACCCAGGAGGAAGATAGGGTTATGATCTTGCTGGTCTCTCTACCTGCATCATATGAGCATCTCAGGACAACTCTATTGTACGGGAATGATGCTCTTGGATTGGATGAGGTGATTGCTACGCTCATTTCTCATGAGTCAATGAAGAAACAGGAAGGTAGCAGTAGCAAACACCGAGAAGAAAATGCCATGGTTGTCTCAGAAAATGAGCAAGGCAGAGGTAGGTCCAATGATAGACGGGGTAGATCCAAATCAAGAGGACGTTCGCAATCAAGGTCAGGCTTCAGGAGAAAGTGTTATTACTGTGATCAGGAAGATCACCTCATAAAAGACTACGCAAAGCCCAAGGAGGACAAGGCACACAAGGAACAGGCGAGCTCATCAAATGTCGCTGCTGCAGTAAATCTAAGGATGAGTATGCATTTACATTTTGGTCGAGTATGACGAAACCTGACTGGATCTTAGATTCCGGAAGCACATATCATATATGCATGGATAAGAAACTTTTTTCTACCTACCAAGCCAAGGATGGATGTATTGTTCGAGTGGCTAACAACACTGTGAGTAAGATTGTTAGCATGGGAACAGTACGGCTGAGAATGGAAGATGGAAAAATTTTCACGTTGGATGGAGTCCGACACGTGCCAAGACTGAAGAAGAATCTAATTTCCTTAAATATGCTAGACATGAAGGGTTATAGCTTCACATCTAGCAAAGGAAATCTCAAAGTCATCCATGGAGATACGGTGATGCTACATGGACGACTGGAGGGGAATCTGTACAGGCTTGTGGAGAAGGTTGTGACAGACGGAGCTACTGTCACTTACCGGGCAAGACGTACAAGACATGCACAGAAGAGACATAGGGCCCAGCAGACATGGCAACCAAAGTGTACAAGAACGCATGGAGGCAGTTCGGAGGTGCACAAGACGGAGCCATTGCGGCCAATTTTAAAGACAGCTCAGAGCAAAGAGACCAAGACAGCAAAGCATGTCCCAGGGAAGAAGGTTTCTTTTGCTCCTGAATTAAAGACATATTGGGATCTCTCCAAGACTGGATGGAAGGGAGAGATGCCATCTCAAAGAGTTGCAAAGTAAGCTTTGCATGGCACCCCAGTAAGGGGGTGCCGAGCACTCCAGGCAGGGGGTGCTATTATGGATCACCTCATATGGGTTGAGGGGGTGATTTGTAGGAGATCAACAATCTTCTAGGGTTTTTTGGAGAAGTTTTTCATGGCATTTGGAATGGGACAGATGTTGCCATTAAAGTTTTTCTTGAATAAGATTTAACTGTTGAGAACATCGAAGACTTCTGTAATGAGATATCTATTCTAAGGTTTGTTTTAATTGATCTATTTGCAATCGTAGCTTCTCATATTTCCCCTTCTCCACTTTGTTCTTGTCCATGCGATTGACTTTTTCTTTTCTTTTCTTCTTTTCATACACAACCGTCTACGCCACCCAAATGGTAATGCCCTGCATTTGTTTGATCAATATTTGTGAATGTTCTTGCAGTTCCTCTTTTTTGATCCCTTCAATTTTGTTTTTCTAGAATGACCATCAAAGAAGTTGGTTTATCTGATGCTGCATTGGACGCACTGGCATAGTGTTTTTCCCAAAAAAAACCTTCTGAAATCAAGGTATTCAGTATGCCCTTCATGTGAGACTTACGTTGGTCTTAATTCTAGTGTCTATTGCATAAATGTTTTCGCTTTTTTGTGGTGCTGCTCAGTCTTCTCCAATTTTTATCTAATAAAACTAGTCATAGTGAAAACTCTGGTCCAGCTGTTTCCCATTTGTTTTGTGCTGGCTTGACAGAGATATGAATCACCATCAAACATCTCATACAGGAGAGATATAGGAAGTTCTTAGTAAGGGAGAGAATTTTGTGGAGGGCCCTGGGAATTCATTTCTTGATAAAGATCTTGAAGCAGCTCTTGATTCTTTTGACAACCTGTTTTGTTGTCAATGTCTTGTAAGCACTACTTCATGCTTTCTAATTCTCTATGTTGTTTAGTGCCATTGTCCTATAACTACCTCTGTACTTTTGCTGTTTTTGTTGGTAGCTCTTTGATTATAAGCTACATGGATGTTCCCAGGATCTTGTCTTTCCAGTAAGTTGGTTGCTTGATTCTGGTTATCACTGTTATAAAAATTGTAGTTGTTTGCTATTTCTGAGGACTTTTTATTTAGTAATTTGTCAATTGTTAGGCTGAGAAACAACTTCCATGGAGCTTTCCAGAAGAGGAAAATATACCATGTGGTCTGCATTGCTATAAACTAGGAATGGTGACTATTTAAAATAACATTCAGTAGCTTGAACTTCTCATATTTATTTTTGTTATCTATTCATTGCACATCTTTTATTGGCTTTGTTTATATTATTATTATGTTTTACGATTGGCAGAGACCAAGAGAATTGAAGGCCATGGGAAGCAGCATGGAGAGTGATTCAGAATGACGGTGAATGATGGATGGGGGTTGGGTGTTTTGGTTTACTTTCTTCTTATTTTTAGTGTTAAAATCCTTTGGATTTTTATTTCTCTTCTTTTTTTCTTTTTTTCCTCTGATCTAACTGGGGGGTTGGGTGTTTTGGTTCACTTTCTTCTTATTTTTTGTGTTAAATGGGGGAGTGGTGAGAGAGAGAAGAGGGTAATGTTATTTTGTAGCTTTGTATTCAATTTTTGGATATGTTATTTTGTGGGTAATGTGTATTAAATTGAATGGAAAAGTGAATTAATGTTGTATTTGCTATTTGAATGGGAGTTATTATTTCATATTAGTGCTATTTAGTTTTATTACAGGTGTTCATTTAGTTTAATCATATAAAATTAGCACAATTTCAAAAAAATAAAAATAAATAAAACACCACTATAATGGTTGGAATTTTTAAAATTAAAAAAAAAACTTATGATGGCGTTTTAGAAACGTCGCTAAAACCATAGTGACGTCACAATACCGTTATGCTAGGACATTTGGCGGCGTTTTTAAAAATGCTGCCTATACTAATACAGTGACGTTTTCCAAACGCCATAAAGTTATAGCGACGGTCGCATTATCAGCGCTTGGTACTGAACGTCACAAAAATAATTAGCGACGTTTTTAGTACCTAAGCTAACAGCCTAATTTCCAATCGTGTTTGTAAGAGAAAAAGTGAAATGATTTTGATTTGAATGTAACATTTTATTTTATCAATTATTTTAACCTATTTTATTTTTATTGACTATTTTAAGTTAAATTCAACTTCCCAAACAAGTTATTAGGTTAAATCTTGAATTTGTAGATCAACTTGAAGAAGGAAGAGGAGAGACAAGTGATTTGTTAAAAAACATTAACTTCTATTTTATTCATAAGTTATTTTATTTTTTATTTTCTTCATAAATCTCTATACAAATTTAAAGTTTAAATACAACATAAATAACACAATAATATATTTATATAAGGACATTGATTCATACCCCCTTAAAACTCCCACCCCCACCACCCCCAAACACGTGGGGGTTGGGGATTGGGAGAGAAGAAAAAAAAAAAAAAGTTGACCAATCAAAAGCAAAAGGAGTCAAGGAGTCCCAATCTTTATTCTTTATATAAATAAAACAATAAATATTAGCAAACGTTGCCTAATTAATAAAAAATTTAAAGTTTTATAATTTTGTTACAATAAAAAAATAGAAACAACAGACTATCAACAATTCTTAAAATTCGCGCAAGTATCATCTACATAGTTTTGTTTGAATTTTGGTTTTATGTACAGATTTGAAAGAGAATTTTTTTTCAAAAGCAAAAGGAGTCAAGGAGTCCCAATCTTTATTCTTTATATAAATAAAACAATAAATATTAGCAAACGTTGCCTAATTAATAAAAAATTTAAAGTTTTATAATTTTGTTACAATAAAAAAATAGAAACAATAGACTATCAACAATTCATTAAAATTCACGCAAGTATCATCTACATAGTTTTGTTTGAATTTTGATTTTATGTACAGATTTGAAAGAGAATTTTTTTTTAAAAAAAAAATTGAATAAAGTATTATTTTATTTCCTTCTATTTAGATTTTAGCCCCCTTCATTATTAATAAATATTATTTTTTTTCTCTTATTTATAAATTTGTACATTTTGACTCATTCAATTAAAAAAATATATTATTTTCACTCTTTTTAGACTCCTTCCAAAAGGAGTATATTTGTACAGTTTTTATAGCTAAAATGTCAATATGTAACGACTTCATAGAAGAAAAGGTAAAATGATATTAGTGTTGGAATAATCTTAAGACAGATTCGAATTATTCTGTTTACAGAATCTTTCGTTTGTTTCCTTTTCTCTTTCTTCTTTTGAGAAAATTATTTTCTGTGAATTTATAAAATAATATTCTGGTTGGAAAAACAAATAGTGATTATATGCTATTTGACAGATAATAGTAATACACTGTCTATTTTCTTTGACAACTAGTAGTAATGTACTGGTGTCATTAACAATTCAGAATATATTTTTGTGGAATTTTTTCAGAAATTAATTTTGGTTTTTAGAAATTATTTTCTGAATTTTCATTAATTAAAATTCTGTTTCAGTATTTTAATTATTGAAGTGTTACAGAAATTAATTTTCTGTGTGGAATTAATTTGGTTAAATAAAATTTTATTTTATTTCCAAATTAATTGAAAAATAAAAATTATTTTCTTATTTCTTTTATTTTACAGAATTTAATTTTCTGTGTGGAATTAATTTGGTTAAATAAAATTTTATTTTATTTCCAATTTAATTGAAAAATAAAAGTTACATTCTTGTTTCTTTATTTTTACAGAATTTAATTCTGTGAATTTAGATTAATTTTCTATATAGTATAAATTCTAATTATAATTTTGTTTTATAATTTAGAATTGATGACTACTAAAACTAATGTCCAAACAAGTACTACTATGGTGGTTGCAATGACGCCAACCCCCTCTCATGTTGTAACAGTACCGGTAAATCACGATGAAAAGCCAGAGAAGTTCTCAGGAACTGACTTTAAAAGATGGCAACAAAAAATGTTATTCTATCTTACAACTTTGAACCTGGCTCGTTTCCTCCGTGAGGATACTCCTATTTTGAAAGAAGATGAAACCGACCGGCAAGTGGTTGCTGCAGTTGATGCTTGGAAACATGCTGATTTCCTTTGTCGGAACTACATTTTGAACGGACTTGATAACACATTATGCAACGTCTACAGTCCTATCAAGACAGCAAAGGAACTATGGGAGTCTTTGGAGAAAAAATACAAAACGGAAGATGCCGACTCAAAGAAATTTGTGGTAGGCAGATTATTGGATATTGTAATGGTTGATTCAAAAATTATGATCAGCTAAGTTCAAGATTTCCAACTCATTATGCATGACATTCATGCAGAAGGCATGTCTCTCTATGAATCCTTCCCAGTTGCAGCCTTAATTGAAAAATTACCACAAGGCTGGAAGGAATTCAAGAACTACCTCAAACACAAGCGCAAAGAAATTTCTATGGAAGAATTAATTGTGCGTTTGAGGATTAAGGAGGACAACCGCAATTCTAAAAAGTGGGCTAGTAAGCATCCTATAGAGTCTAAGGTAAATGTGGTTGAACATGTTTCAAAAACCAAAAAACGAAAGTCTTCAGGATAAAGTTCATCACAAGGCTCTAAAGGAGGGGGAAAATAAAAAATACAAGTTTAATGGCAAATGTTACATCCGTGACAAAGAGGGACATCGGGCAATGCCGTAGCAAAGGCAAAAGCAAAAGAAGAACAAGAAAGAAACCTGCTCAATCCTATATGACCGAAGTGGACAAAATTTCCAATGGTATAGATGACATAAATCTTTCTGCAGTTGTTTCCGAGGCAAATCTTGTCGGAAATCCTAAAGAATGGTGGGTGGACACTGGTACTACTCGCCATATCTGTGCCGACAAAAAGATGTTCACATCTTATTCTACAGTGGATAATGGTGAACAACTTTTTATGGGCAACTCCTCAGCTTTTAAAGTTGAAGGACAAGGGAAGATTGTTCTCAAGATGACATCGGAAAGGAACTCACTTTCAACAATGTGCTGCATGTACTGAACATTCGCAAGAATCTTGTTTCCGAATCTCTTTTGAGTAAGAATGGGTTTAGGCGAGTATTTGAGAGTGATAAATTTGTACTTACTAAGAATGAGATGTATGTAGGAAAAGGTTACATGTCTGATGGCCTTTTCAAGTTAAATGTAATGACCGTTGTGCCCTCAGTTATTAATAATAATACATCTTCTTCTTACTTGCTTGAGTCTTCAAATTTATGGCATGGTAGACTAGGACATGTTAATTATGGATCTTTGCATAGATTAATTAATATGGAATGTTTACCTAAATTTGACATTGATTCAAATCATAAATGTGAAATTTGCGTTGAGGCAAAATTATCCAAAACTCCTTTTCATTCAATTGAAAGAAGTACGGAACCACTTGAATTAATTCATAGTGACATTTGTGATTTTAAATCAATTCAAACCAGAGGTGGAAAAAAATATGTGTAGACACCCCATTTTTGACCGACCTTAAGACTCAGACGTCACCGATTGAGCGCTTGGTGATGTTGCATAATGTGCTCGTTCAGACAGTAAAACTAAAGTTGAAAATCAACTTGGTAAAACTATTAAAATGGTTAGAAGTGATATGAGTGGTGAATATGATGCACTTTTAAATGAATTTTGTGCACAGCATGACATTATTCACCAGCACCCTATTCTCCATAGTAAAATGGAATTGTTGAAAGGAAAAATAAGACTTTAAAAGAAATGATGAATGTCATGTTAATAAGTTCTGGATTACCTCAAAACTTGTGGGGGGAAGCAATACTTTCTGCTAATTATATACTTAATAAAATACCCCGAAAGAAAATGAATCAAACACCTTATGAAATGTGGCATGGGTACAAATACTTAAAAGTGTGGGGGTGTTTGGCTAAAACGGCTATTCCTAGTCCCAAAAAGACTAAGATAGGTCCTAAAACCATTAATTGCATTTTCATTGGTTATGCCAAGAACAATAGTGCATATCGGTTTTTGATTTATAAATCAAAACATACCGAAATGCATGTAAATACTATTATTGAGTCTCAGAATGCATCTTTCTTTGAACATGTGTTTCCGACTAAGATTGGACAAGAGACTAGTAATAAGAAAAGATCTTTTGATGCTATTACTAGTAATGATCAAGAACAAGATCAAGAGCAAGAGCAAAATCAAATTGATGAAGAGGAACCTAGGCGTAGTAAACGTGCTAGAACCTCAAAATCTTTTGGTCCAGATTTCCTAACATTTTTATTAGAAAATGAGTCTTTAACTTTTAAAGACGCTATGTCCAGTCCTGAAGCTCTTTTACAGAAAGAAGCTGTCAATAGTGAAGTTGAATCCATCTTGCAAAATCACACTTGGGAATTAGTGGACTTACCACCAAGTTGTAAACCACTTGGGTACAAGTGGATTTTCAAAAGGAAAATGAAAGCAGATGGATCAATTGACAAATACAAGGCAAGACTTGTGGTCAAAGGTTTTAGACAAAAAGAAGGTCTTGATTACTTTGACACATACTCACCAGTTACAAGAAAACATCCATTAGAATAACAATTGCCATTGCATCTCTATACAATCTAGAAATTCATCAAATAGATGTGAAAACCGCTTTCTTAAATGGTGAGTTAGATGAAGAAATTTACATGAAACAACCAGAAGG